ATCCTATTTTAAATTGACTTACTTGCCTGATTAAGTATCAGAAATATATATAGCATGACATATTAATAATTATTCAATTGTTCTTTATGTGTGTTTTGCAGTGGCAAGGACTGGGAGGACACATGGGAGCCTGCCCAACAGTATAGCAGCTCAAAATGATCACACAGACACATACATACACATACACACACATACACACTCACACACACACACACACACACACACACACACACACACACACACACACACACACACACACACACACACACACACACACACACACACACACACACACACACACACACACACACAATAAGTTGTTTCAATAAATTGTTTCATTAAAATGTTGTTTCTGTTGTGTATTTTTTGTAAAATTATTTCTCAATAGGGTAAAGCCTTTTAAAATGTTTGGTATGTTAATGAAAATGTGACAATCATTATTTGCAAGATAGATATCCATTTTTGTTATGGTCTTCTGTTTATGTCATATGAATAATACTGGTACAATTTGAATTTGCCCAAAAACGTGGAAATGAGAGCAGACCAGATTTTCTAAATGCCAGGGCCTGGAACATCAGGAGCATCTCTAAAAGACGATATGTGACAGTCCTGCAGCAACGGACCATATGAGAAACATTATGTTTTGTAGCATTAAAACCTAGAAACGTATTCTAAACCTACTATCAAAGTATTCACCTGAAATGTAGCACAATTTGCCTCCTGTGAAAAGCACTATTTGAAAATGTGGATTTGTCAGGTCAACATGTGACTTATCTGGTTTGCTATAACAGTTTCACTCCCCAGTTGAACTGTATTTGACAATCATTAAATCCACAAACATAATTTGGTAAATAAATCAAAGACAATAGTGTAAATAAGAAAGGTTTAGTTTTTGAAACTAGTAATGGGGACATTGATACATTAACTGTCAGCAAGTACATTTCTGTCATATTTGGAAGATAGGAAAAAAGGTGAATAAGTATTCTCTCTAATGTCGATTGATTTTACAGTGATATTTGCATTACTCATCAACTCCAAAACACAAGATTACACAACATTGATTGGTTTAAATTGTGTACAATGATGTTGTGTTTTTCCCCCTTCGATTCGGAGATAGTTTTTTCTGAGTTTAAGACGGCCGAAGACACTACACTACCCATAATCATCAGCTATAATACACAGCAACATGTAAAACATGCAATTTATTGTTACTTTGTAATTCTACTCCACTACAATTCAGAGGTTAACCTGGTATTTTTACTCCACTACATTTATTTGAGTTACTTTGCAGATTCTGATTAATGTGAAATATAAACAACATCGTCAACATCAGACTTTAGTTACACCTGAGTAAAATTCAGGGAAAGGTGATTGTCAAGTGCAAACAATCAGGAGAGATATTTGGTAGTGGGTGCTTGAGAAGACTAAACATTTATCTCCAGATCCCTATAAAGCTATTCATTACTCTTTATTCTCTAATCGTTAATTAAAGACTGTATGAAATGGCTATTTTACACATCCCTTTCAAGATTTTTCGACATTTGCTATCGATATTATTTCTGTTATGTTGTGTAACTGTTTAATGGTGTTATCTTTATTGCTACCCCCTTCCCCGTCAATGTATAGTGTTGGTCCACAAAGCAAACGTATTAGTTTAACAAAATCCGCATCTAAAATGGTGGCATAGATACGTTATTTTCCCCTATGCAATTCCAGTCTCACATCTCACAGCACATCGTCATAAACAAATATCGGAAACAGACCGAAAACACTTTATTTCCGAGTGTGCTTGCTTTTCTCTTTGGAAGTCATCACATAACGGCATTGTAATACACGGTTCGGCTGCATTAAATATTACATATCTGCCGTAGTTCTTTATTTATAGAGCCCTGATGAGAAGACTTCTAGACAAACATGAGGAACTGCCGCAACACTGAAAACGTGACGTGGATCATAAATATATCAGTAATTAAACAACATCTTACATTTATTTTCACACAATACGTCTCCTTGCAGTATCAACACTAATTCGGCTGACTTTTATATTTGATCCAATTGGTAGATAGGCTATATTTACACCATAAAGGTGCACAGCTGATATAAAGGGACACCTGGTGGTTGAAGAACGTTATTGAATTTCATTATTTGTATCATTAGATATTAATAGGATCCCTATAAAGTATATTCATTACTTGTTATTCTCTACTAATAGTTAATTAAAGACTGTATATAATGACTATTTTGCACATCCCTATCAAGATTTCAAGAATTTCTAAGGTTTATTGACATATCCACAAATGGTGTAGTTATGCAATGAATGAAAAACTTGGCAGGTTCGTCAACACTGCATAACAAGACATCTATCAATATGTGTGTATACCTCCACCATTAAACAGTCATATTCTGCACATTTCTTATCTACATACATCTTATAAGAGTATAATTAATATGTAATATCAGTTAAAATAAGTGCTTAAACATAGTTAACATTGCAGGACAGTTGATTGCCTAGTCCCAAAACAAATTATGCAATATATTAGACTTTAAGTACTTTGTCAGGCTTAATATTTATCTGTAGATTTACCAAAGCTTTTTGCTTACATGTATTTAAAAGAAGACCTTAACTTAAAGTATTATTTAATGTTTTAATAAAGCCTGATTAGTTTGTCTGATTTGCACATCCTCTATATTAATATCTGTGTACATCCAGCACTAAACTTGTATTGTAGAGATCTCTTACAGTAGCCTATCTTCTTGATATTTGCTATTCTATATTTCTATCATTGACCTTCTACTTTCCCCCTATTTTGTATGTACTCTTAATATTTACATATTTTCATCAAATGTAACCCATTCAACCAAACAAGCAGCAGAGATTAGCAACACAACCTTACCTGCATTGCAACGACTCTAAACGTGTAATAACGCGCTTTAACCACTAGGTGAATAATACAGACGTATAAAGTACACATGGTATACAATGCTATCAAAAACACATGTTAATTTACATATCTAACTATCATTATCAAGCACAATATGGACTATATGAGGCTTATGCATTGTACCAGGTGTAGGCTAAGTCAAAAACAGGCAACTGATGGTGTGTGAAAGGTCATTTATGAGGATGAAACAAATGAGGTATACAGAATACAATGCCATTTGATCTGTTTTATTATTAGTGTAGGACAGATATGTATAACACCTGAAGATGTTTTATTCATGTTATCACATAATTGTAGAGGATATAGCTATATTATTGCACATATTTGAGTTCTATCTACACATGAATATCTGATTTGTAAAACATCACACAAAAAGGTTTATCCGCCCCCTCATGGTGCTAATCAATATGTGTGTTTGCTAAACAGAGATACAAACAGAACATGAGTGAACAGTCAAAACAATTGTTATCAACTTTATTGTTATGGGACATTGTTTACATAGTGTTTCAGAGTAGACATGTAATAACATCTGAATAAAATGAAATGATAGAAAATGCCTTCAACAACCTGAAGAATAACTTACTGGACATACATATTAAGACATTAGGAAATGTGTCTTTTTTTTTTGTCGGAGGGCCGCAGCTGACGAGAGGGGGTTTAGGGCTGAAGGAAGTCAGCGATGTATGCAGGGGCTAGGGAGTGGAGAAATGTGTAGGTTAGCAGGAGGAGTCTGTACTGGATGCGTGACTTGACCGGGAGCCAGTGAAGGTGGAGGAGAGTGGGGTGATGTGTTGCCAGGGCTTAGTGCGGGTGAGGAGCCTGGCTGCAGAGTTCTGGACGTACTGGAGCCTGTCCGGGGATTTGCTGGTGACCCCGAACAGAACTCCATTGCAGTAGTCCAGACGAGAGGAGATGATGGTATGTATTAATGTTTCTGCAACGGGGTCGGGGAGAGAGGGCTGGAGTCTGGAGATGTTTCGAAAGTGAAAAAAAGCGGTTTTGACAGTAGACCTTATGTGGGAGTTGAAGGTGAGGCTAGAGTTCAGAGTGACGCCCAGGCTGGATGGAGCAGCCATCGACGGTGAGGAGCAGATCTCCAACCTTCCGGAGCAGTGTTTTTGAGGCCACAGCCATGAGCTCTGTTTTGTTTTTGTTGAGTTTCAGTAGGTTTGTTGACATCCAGGTTTGGATGTCGCAGAGGCAGTTGACTAGTGACAGTGGGGGTAGCTGGGATGATGGATTGGTACTGATGTAGAGTTGGGTGTCGTCGGCATAGGAGTGGAAGTTGAGACCATGTTGGCGGAGTATTTTACAGAGGGGGAACATGTAGATGATAAATAGAAGGTAGTCTGGAGGGGGCTTCACCGTGTGTCATCAGAGCTGTCAGAGTCGCAGTCAGAAGACTCATCTGAAACACTTTGCAAGAAGCTGATGGTCTCTGCTCCAGTCAAAACGTGCTGGTAGCATCGTCTCGCATGAGTCTTCATTTCTCCGATGTCGTGCTGCTTTTTCCTGAACATGCTCTGGAGACAATATCAGTTACTTCATCACCTATCACTGATGTGTAAAGTCATGCAAAGTAAAAATGTAATATATACTGTACTTTGCAGGCAGGACAGCTCTTTCAGTGAATCACTGCGGGTTGAAAGGACCTTCCAGTGGTGGTTCATTTCTGTGACGAGAATCTTCTTCTCCTGCTGTAATCTCTTCACTGCCATGACCAGGTCAAACGCTCTTCTCTTTGTCCTGAGGTCGAAAGACTCTGGAAAGCATTTATGACAAAACATGAATTCATGTGTATGAAAGATCAACATTCAAAGAATCTATGAAGTCTTACATAGTTTTATATATCAGACATGAAGGTTTTCCATATTTGCTGTGAGCATTCAGCAGACTTGTGTACTTACCACTGTTTGGTAGCTGCCATGGCCAAGCTTTCTCCACGACAGAATGGCTTCGAGGCACAGAGCTTCTGTGCTTGGAACCATTGAGTTGTATTTCTCAACTGTGGCTGTCAGGACCCCTTTCTCATCCCTGATCTTGCGGCGGATCCGGGAACGACCTTTGTTGCTGTCTGTGTCTTTGTAGAGACGCTGCGAACGTCTCTTGACACTTACTGTCAGCATTTCGATCTTGCTGGCCAAGGCAGCAGCATCCCTTGGGTTGTTTGTTGTTGCTTTTTAGACAACATAGGCGTATTAAGCACAGTAATTCACAATAACAGTGACATTTGATCAAATGTTTTAAGATTATTTTATTACATGTTTCATGAAAAATAAGTCATGCAAATGTCAATAGAGGGTTATCACTAATTCTGAAAATTAAAAATAAATTGATAAATCATGACTCCAAAAAAGTTGAAAAACTTCATTAAGATTGTCCTCACTTTCTGCCCACTCATTCACATCTCTGATCCAGTCTTCCAGCTGCTTTTCAGTCACTGCCAACTCAGCCTTCATGGACTCCAGGTTCTGCAATTGCTTTTCCAGAGCTTTTGTGGTCTACAAACGTCAAACAATTAAAGACAAGTAAATACAGAAATCTACATTTAGGCTGCAGCCACAAATAATTCTAACTAAGAATATGTCATTCTTCTAAAACTATGTTATTACCTTCAGATATCTGTGGGACAGTGAGTTGGCCAAGTTGCTGACTTTTTGCTGATTCCAGCGCATGGCCATCAGCGTCAGCATGTCTGTACGTACTGCAAAAGAGAATATCACGTTATTACTATTCCTCTTACTTCTTATACTGTAACTGCGGTTTATACTATATTGCCATCCTACATTGTGCTCTATGGTCATAACCGTCAATGAGCTTTTATGAGTTTGTGTTGTTGGTGTAATTTGCTAGTGTAATCTGTGCCATTCTGAATTTTTTTTTAAAACTGACAGTAAAGGTTCTATTGTAACTCACCTGCTTTTGACATGTGTTTTGTGGTCACTGCTATCCGAGAGAGGAAGGCATTGACCTGTTCCACCTCCTCCCCTAGGGTTAGTCCAGCCCCCTCTTGATATGCCCCACTCCATTTCACCTGTTTAAAATATATTCAAAAGTACGACTCGTTACAACTTGTCACTATTCACAAGGAGGTTTTTACATAAAGTGATTGTGTCACATGGTAACAATTCCTTACTTCACATTTGAAGTCATGCGCTTTGGCATGAAACACTGAGAGAAAGGGCTTCATGTCGAGAAGATGCTGGAGCTCTGGACAGCTTTTTGTGATTCTATGGAGGTAGGGCCAATATTTGCAGGTCACATCCATGCAAAAGAACATACTACTGGCCAGCTTTTTCTGTAGGTACAAGGGATAAGCAAAGATTTCTCCCCTGTACATATTGAGAGCACTGAGGAGCACTCCATGTCGACAGACGGCAAGCTCTAGTCCCTCCTCATCCAGCTTGCTGGCAGATTTTAGGGAGGTCTCTCTGGCTGCCGACCACTGTCCTCCACAAACACCTCTTCCGGAGACCTAATATATACAAATGTATTGATGAAAATGGTGCAAAGACTTACATAACCAAACCCTTCATTAGGATATTATATTCTATTATACGTAATTAGAGTCTGCAATATTACATGTTTGGTTGTGGTGTGTATATAGTCCACAAATCTTGAGACGTCTTCATCCCTGGCTATAAAGACACCGTCAAAGATGGCCTGTTCCTCAGATCTAAATAAATCAAAGGAGCAATGTATGACATCTCCGATTATATGGTTGATTAGTTCACATCAAGATACTTTTGTTTCGTTATCTGTTCAAATACTGTGACATTATATATTTTCTATGGTACCTAGCTGCATTCTTGAAACGGTAATGCTTGCGGTTTCCATCCACGGAAACTGCAAACATATCAGGGCTGCACGCAGGACAGGTGAAGGGCTCCTCCTTGCACATGATGTCCACCTCATAACGCACAGCCTCCCACTCAAAGAAACTTTTGATGAAGCTGTCAATTGAGATCTTTCCAGTCTATAACAAAATAAGGACATCAACAGTCAATATGTCAAAAATAAATTATAAATTATAAGGACACAGCTTACAATTTGTACAATACAAATAGATTAAAAAGGACAAGTAACTTCAATATGCACTCGGCCGAAGCGCAACGGTCGCTGATCTAGCATCTGAAACAATCATCAGCATGATGACAGCCTCTGAAACAACAACAGTTGAAGTTGAGGCCATCATCAAAAAGATGAAACCCTCCACCTGTGCCCTGGACCCCTTTCCCACAGCTTTGGTTAAATCGAACATTGGTGCCATAAGTCGGCTGATCACTTCAGTGATAAACCAGTCCATCCAGTCTGGTCATGTTCCACCACCATTAAAAGCTGCTGTCATCAAACCACTCCTCAAAAAACTCACTTTAGACCCTGAAGTCCTAGCCATTTACAGACCCATCTCCAACCTGTCATTCCTATCCAAGGTACTGGAGAAAGTAGTTGCCATTCAGATCCAGGAACATCTAACACTGAATAAACTCTTTGAAAAATTCCAGTCTGGTTTTCGCCAGGGCCACAGTACAGAAACTGCCTTAGTCAGGGTGACCAATGACCTGCTGATGACAGCTGACACCGGATCTCCATCTCTCCTCATCCTCCTGGATCTAACTGCAGCATTTGATACCGTCGACCATGACATCCTACTCCACCGTCTTCACACTACAATTGGACTCTCTGACTCTGCCTTAAACTGGTTCACCTCCTATCTCACCAGGAGGACTGAGCACGTCACCTTGGGAGCGGCTAAATCAAGAACTCACTCTGTGACTTGCGGTGTCCCCCAAGGATCAGTCCTCGGCCCCACCCTTTTCACCATATACATATCCCCCCCTTGGTCGTGTCATCAGCCGGCATGGAATATCTTTCCATTGCTATGCTGATGACACACAGCTCTACATCAGAGCAAACCCAACCCCCTCTGCACCTCTGCCATCATCCACAATAACCACATGCCTGGAGGAGATAAAGGTGTGGATGAAGCACAACTTCCTCCAGCTAAACAGCTCCAAGACTGAAGCCATTCTTATTGGCACTCCACATCAGGTCCGTTCATCCGCCATCACCAGCATCACCTTCTCCGATCAGAACATTCCACTCTCACCTACGTTTACCAATCTGGGAGTTAAAATGGATCCTCACCTGACCTTTGAGGCCCACATCAAGCAAATATGCAAGACCTCTTTCTACCACCTGAGAAATATTGCGAAACTCCGCCCCACACTCAGTCTGCCAGATGCTGAAAAGCTTGTCCACGCCTTTGTCTCCTCCAGGCTGGACTACTGTAACGCACTTCTCATTGGGATTCCTAGCAAGAACATCCAGAAGCTGCAATACATCCAGAACAGCGCTGCTAGGATCCTGATGAGAGTACGGAAGTACGAACACATCACACCCATCCTCAAATCACTGCACTGGCTCCCTGTCTCACTCAGGATTGACTACAAAATCACCCTCTTCACTCATCAGTGCATATATGGAAATGCTCCCTCCTACATCAAGGAATTGCTCACCCCACAAACCTCCACGAGGAACCTACGTTCAGTAAAGGCAAACCTCCTCATCCCACCAAGGACAAAACTGAAGACCATGGGAGACCGAGCCTTCTGCTCCGCTGCTCCGAGACTGTGGAATGCCCTCCCAAACCAGCTGAGGACACCACAGACTGTGGAAGCTTTCAAAAAAGGCCTAAAAACGCATCTTTTTAGAATAGCCTTTAACTAGATTTTTAAATCCCCCACATTATGCCATGCCGGCATAAATGTCACAGCTGTTATTATGTTGTTTTAATTGTTTTTAAATTGTTTTTTTATTGTTTTTATTGTTTTGTTTCACCCTTTTTAATTTTTAATTTTGTAGCACTTTGAGTTTTGTTTACGCAAATGAAAAGTGCGCTTATAAATAAAATATATTATTATTATTATTATTAAACTTGTAATCAAGGCTTTGGATCCAGAAGGAGTCGAACTACGACAAGCAAGACGTCTACGGCGCCGACAGTCCCACAACCTTCTGGTTGAAAGACGACCGCACTCCCTCTTAGCCACAGTCGCCCACGTGACACAAATAGTTCCAGTTTGTGATTGACAGATGATGTTATCCTCTCCATTTTGTAAATGTCCATTGTAATATCCATCCATGCGTTTAAAGTTGGGGTGATCGGGTGATAACCACTTCTTTGTAAGAGCTTTTTTACTCGCCACCAAGAACAGATTTAATAAATATTTGTCTTTTTTAGTCCATTCTTGAGGTATGAGTCCAAAGAACAAAGTTTTACTCTCCATGGGCACATGACATTTGAAAATATCTTGTAAGGCTTTATGTATCCCTCCAAAAGACCTCAATAACAGGTCAGTCCCAGAAAACGTGATAATGATTTGCATTTGAATTTCCACATTTTCTCCAGCAGTCTGGGGAGTTACCACCATAGTGAGACTTCTGAGAGGGTGTTATAACATATATTATCAGGCTTTTCCCACCAAACTCCCTCCAGTTATGTGAACTGGTACATTTCCACTGATATTTCCATATTGTTGTCCATTCCTCCTCAGATATGATAACCCCTCCTTCCTTCTCCCACTTGGATTTCACATATATGGTTGAGTGTATTTTAAGATTCAATAGCCCTTTATACATACATGAAATAACTTTGCTATCTGTTTTTGAATCGTATGCTTTTTTAAATAGTTCTATCACACTTGACTCTGTTATAGTTTTAACCTTTTGGTTAACATAATGCCGCATCTGTAAGTATCGATAGAAGTCTTGTTTTTCTAAAAGGAATTTCTCTTTAAGCATTTCAAAACTAAACAGCGTTCCCTCTTTAATTATGTTGCAAAGAGCAGTTATTCCTTTGGCTGTCCAATCCTTGAATCTAGTGTCTAATTTATTAGGAGTAAAGTTGGTGTCATATGCACACCATTTCAGAATTGTAATATGTTCCTCTAATTTATACTCAGTTATGACTGTTTTCCATACTTTAAGAGTCAGTTTTACCCATGGATTTTCAATGTTATTTATGTAGCCCTGTAGGTCGCTGGGCTACATTTTCCTCTTCCATGGTTTTCCATTGGGCAGCATATGATGGATTGCACCAGCATACCATGGGCCTCAGCTGTGCTGCCCGGTAATACTCTTTAAGGCGAGACACCCCAGGTGAATAGGGTAATTTTTTTAACTTAAATGTATCAGCTAGAAATTTCTCCAGTTAATTACTTACAATAAGGCAATTGTTTTTTGTATTACAAGTTTTCTGAAATAGCATTTTTAAATCTACAAATTAGCCATTATCTCATTAAATATGAACATATTTTAAGTCTAGGGCTGTCAGTCGATTAAAATATTTAATCGCGATTAATCGCATGATTGTCCATAGTTAATTGCGATTAATCGCAAATTAATCGCACATTTTTTATCTGTTCTAAATGTACCTTAGAGGAATATTTTTTAAGTTTTTAATACTCTTATCAACATATGAGTGGACAAATATGCTTTATGCTAATGTTTATTATCATTTGAACAATGACAAATATTCTCATGAATATTAAACACAACAACCTCTGAACATTACAAATATTCGCCTCAATTCAACCTGGAACCTCTCTCATTCAATAATACAA